TGCAATGGCTCAACTCAAATACACAAATAAATATTGCTGTAAAAATTGATAAGCCCATCAAGCGCCGATGACTGCAGGGAAACAGAGGACATTAGCGCAAAGTTTACGGCACGGCATCAGCTTTTATGGGGCGCAGGGAGAGAGCAGTCCGAAGCGGCAACTCAGTCAAACTGTTCGGATATGAACTCTTTTTTAATGAGGTGCTAAAAATGCCGTTATTGTTATGACAGTCGGACGGGCATTAACGGCTGCTCGGCAGAGTCCTGTGTGCTTTTCGTCAGGGCATTAACGTTAAAGCCAAAGTTTTAATGCAGATGCGGTAAGTTGGCCCCGGCGGACAGCTCGAGCGCAGTTTAAACATCGATTTGTAAATTGTTAAATGATTGCTGGCTAAATGCGCGTGGCTAATGCCCCGTTCCGCACGGTTCGCAAGGGTTGCTCGCTCGAACGGGCTGCCGACCCAAAACAGGGTGAGGGCAGCGGGATGCGAATAATGTTAAGGGTATATACATGCATACATATATACGTCTGGCTTGGCAGAACTCTCATGCATGCAGCCCCATCGAATTCCACGCATATTCGAGCAATGCGCGTACATTTTTTCCTTACGTACGTTGGCCCAGCAGCCGACGAAGTCGGAGACGTCAGCGCATGCTGAGCCCTTTTCTCGATTTAAATACGCTTTACGTAAAACTCTTTTGGGGTAGATTTGCTCTACTCAGTCTCGCTCTCTCTCATTAAGTTGCTTAAAGGTATAATGAAAATTAAATATCAATCAAATACTTCAGCTAACTGTTGCAGTTAAGTATATCATGTTCTCTTTTAAAGGTTGTTTCACCTCATGGCCAAAGTAAGTCGAGCACACTTTATTCTAGGTCTATGCAGGGTATTTCAGAAGCCAACTATTTGAATTTGAGCATCCTGAAGAATTAGAATCGTTTTTATGAATAGCATATCTATGATTATGACCAGTATTTCTGGCTCAGACCTTCTGAGATTACTGAAATTCCACTGGTTGCCCTTCATTTGGAGCGTCTTGAGCCAGCTCGTGCTTATTAAACCACTTCACCTACCGCCGCTCAAGCGTTTTGGCGGCCCAAAGTGGGGCTTCAGTCCAAGTGCGGAAGTAGCCATTGAATATTCAAGCAGCCAACACTTGCGGCTCTTGGCTGGAGTGGGGTGGGGTGGGGCGGGGTGTGGTGTGGTGTGGAGATGTAGTTGTCGCATTGGTTTTAGAGGGTGCACGGAGCCTGTTTCATTGACGATTTTTATGAAACTTGAGAACATTTTGCCGTAGATTTTGGCCTCTTTGACTAACATAACACTTTGGCAGGCCGAGACGGCAGCAGTTGGCAAACAAATTTGAATTTATATTAATTTATTAGCATAGCAAAAGCGCAACATTCAACGCCACTGGACAGTGTGGCTAAGCCAAAGTCCCGTCCGGGTCCCAGTCCAGGTCCCGGTCCCGGTCTCGTTCCCACACTCCGATCCGGCTAGAGCTCCAATTTCGGGGCCAGCGAGTGGCAGCCGCAGCCGCAGGATCAAAACTTTTCCAAAATGAAAATGAAAATGAAATGTAATTTCACAATTTCTAGCAATGAAGTCGCTAATTTGAAATGTAAATTGCCGTGCTAAGCAGTCGGAAATAAAAAGGCAGAGAGCACAAGTGTTGGGCGAGGGTGTGGGGCGTGGCTCATCTACACACATTTATTAATACGCGCATTTTTCACACCGGATTTGCATGTGGCCTGGACTAGTCCGGAAGCCGAGCGACTTCATTTTGAGTTTTAAGTGTCGCCCACACAAAAATATGCAGCACTTGCGTGAAATATGCGACCGGGCCAAAGTAGCTGGCGCTATGCAAAATTATGCTAATGCCGCTGCCACAGCGCCCAGGTTCAGGTGGGCGTGGGCGTGGGCGTGGTGCCAGTTGCAGAGCCACCTGCGTTTTATGCAACGAAATTTGCCAAATGTCAACCGGGGTTTCGGGGAATCGGGGAATGGGGCAGGTGGAAGGTTCGCTGGCTGTTGACTCTGGTTCGCATGCAGCTGACAGCTCGACAGTTGGCAGTGCCAAAAGTCACAAAAGCTGAGCGCAAACAGTTTGGCTCCACAAGCAAAATATATAAAAACAAATAAGTGCCTTAGAACTTAAAACAAACGCTTTTGCACTTTAAAGGCAGAGAATGACGCCTCCTGCTCTTCCTCGCTAGCTGGCTGGCTGGCCGGCAAGCGATCCACGGCAGCTTAGCGTTTACCTACACACTCATAAAATGCGCATTAAAACATACAGCGCTGGCCGGGTAAAATCCAAAAGGATTTAGTTGCGCCACAGGAGGTGGTTACTTCACGTCTATTGCGCCATCTTTGCATACACACACAGAGAGAGAGAGAGAGAGAAAGAGGAGACACACATACAGTGGCACACATTGAGCGACAGCCAACCGAGCAACCTCTGCGCCCCAGCTGGTAACATGAATGGTTTTTTCATCCATCAAACATGGCGTCAAACGTCACAAGGCTTGGGAGCACAAAAAGGCAAGCCAGAATTCCCAACCCCAAAGCTCTATTGTCGTCTAATACCACAGCTCCGGCTCCGGCCCCGGCCCCGGCCCGGCCTCAGCCCCAATCCCAGACCCAGACCCAGAGCCAGTTTCAGTGCCCCGCACAACCGACGTACCCCATCAGAGTCATGCATCACTTCCGCAGCCGCTGTTGGTGGGTGCGGCTGCCACCACGCCGTGGGCTACATAATCTTTCGAGCTTTATGTGCTGATGACTTGCTGAGCCTGAGCTGGCGATGCCATTGCTGTTGCTTTTGTTGTTGCTGTTGCTGTTGTTGCTGTTGTTGTTGTTACTGTTGAGGTCGGAGCTGTGTGGGCTGTTGGGGTTTACTGCGTGTTTGGTTGTTCCGAAATGTGCTGAGTCGGTTTTTGTGCTTGGTCGGATTTTCTACACTTTTGTTGGCATCACCCAGAGTGCTGTTCTTGCCGATGTTGTTGTTGGCTCAGCATGTTGCTGCCTTCTAAATACATGGACACACACATACACTAACATAAGCATAGACATTCATATAATGCTTGTAATATTTGCGCTTAGCCTTTACAGGCTAAGCGGGCCTCTGCCCGGCATCAGCTAGCAAGGAGCAAGGCATCGAGGCAGCTGGCAGACGATAGGCAGCGCGAATGCCCCAAGTGTCCTTGGGGCTGCGCTTTCACATTTCAGTCGAGTTCAAAATGTTTATTTTGTTGTCCTTAGGTTAGTCGCTTGCTCATTTTGTGTTCCTAACGCTTGTTTGCTGTATCTTGCCCAAGTGTATGTATGCTAGTATATATATAGATATATGTATATGTACGCATGTGTGTGGGTGTGAGTGTGGATTGCTTTTTTACAGCGTTTTTGTGTATGTTATTTGATTTGAACTGTTTGCATTCAGTACTGTTTACATATCTCAGGAATATCTAGCCCGTGCCTTCGGTAAATATCCTTGATCCATTTGCAAACAAGAGCAACAGACTTTCGAGCTACTGAAGCTTTAAATGCGATACACGGGCTGTATTGGAAATATTTAATATATGTATTAAGATATTAACAAACAGATTAAACGAAAATAGAAGTATTCATAATTTCTAGATGCCGTTTACTCGAGCTGTGTTTGCCAAACAACATTCCTCTCAGGGAAGAGTATCCGAAATAAAAAGAGTTTACGGCGCGAAATACAAAAGATTGCGCTGACGATGATGGAAAAAGCCTTTAAGATGGGATTTACCATAATCGTCAAAACGAACACGAGAGAAATTCACGGAGCTAAACAACAAATCGGCATTCAGTGAAAGTCGCAGAGGCCTTAAAATCTTATAAATTGACTACAAACCCAGATCCGTGTCAGTCACATGCTGGGCGGACAGAAGACAGGCGCAACTCGGCTGACGTTGGTGCTGATGTGACTATTCGATGGCCGACTCCCCCGCCAGCTCGACCCTGGAAGGGGACAGTCCCAAGGAAGTGTTGTATTTGTAGTGTGCAAAACTATTTGTTTTTGCCCGCTGTGCGAAGCTGTGCGCAAATTTTCGCAATTCCGTAATGGTTATTGGAAACGCAGTCAGGCAGCCAACTGGCGGCAAATATTGACGCTGCCTGTATCCGAGTGCAAATCCTTTAATGGCGTTAAACGTTCCCATACAGGGATTTCCGCTTAAACTGCCGCCGCCGAGCTCCGGGCATTGTTTTGCCAGACCACACGAAACTCCCCAACAGTGGCGTCCTCTTTATGTATATTGTCAACCATAAACTTTTATTATGCCTTAAGGTGAATGATTTTGTTTATTTTTTAGGCCTGTTGCCGGCTGTCGAGCAACAACAACAAGGATACTCCACCATGGCCATGCTGCGACGTCCTTGTGCTGGTCAGCAACGTACGCATAATTCTGCGTTACTTTCAGTCGCCACGCGTTACGCCCCACGGCGTTTGGCATCCTTTGGTGACTCGGTTGGGGATGTCACTGGCGAAAAATCGCAACAATTTGTAATGCCAAGTATTTTATTTATTCTGCGATTTCACGGACTGTATTTTTTTATTTTTATTTTATTTGTATTTTTTTTTTTTTTTGCCAGCATTAATAAATACATATATAAAATGCATGAAATCGCTGGCTGACACGAGCACTCATTAATAGTATATATATATATGTTCTCATATATATGTATATATCAGTTAACATTTGTTTCATGTATATAAAATATATTCTTTTATAGTATTTAAAGCCAAGTTAAACCCAGAATAAATACCAGGTCTTGGCTGATGTAATATTTATAACTGTCACTTTAAAGCAAAATATTTCCAAATATATACAACTAATCTATTTATGACTTCTTAATGAAGGAACACCAATATGTGGTATTCTGGTATTTATTATCAGTTTGCAAACGCAAGTTTGATAAGACAACAAACAGTTAGGTAGGGTATTTATCTAATACATATATACATTACGTAGATGTGATAAAGCCTCTATTAATAATATTTATGTACATATTTACAAATTAAAAAATCTCTTCACTTTTCCACATCGGTAAACTTGAAGCGAAACTCAATGGCTGGCTCCATAAGGAACAGTGATTTGTACGGCTTGGATGCATCGTAGTTGAACTCCACATAGAAGTTGCGAATGAGCTTGGCCAACGTTGTCTCCATTTGTAGATCGACAATCCGCTTGCCAATGCACTGGCGAGGCCCGAAGCCGAATGGCAGGTACGTAAACGGAGTGACCTGGATCTTCTTGTTGGTTTTGGGATCACGTAGCCAGCGCTCTGGCAGATACTCGTTGGCACGCTCGAAGTACGCCTCGTCCTTGAGCAGAGCATTGGCTCCGACCAGAATCTGTGTGCCCTTGGGTATATGATAGCCCGAGAGGGTGACGTCCGCAATGCACTGACGGAAGGAGCCCAAGCCATTGGGATAGTAGCGCAACGCCTCTTTGATGACAGCCCGCAGATACGGCATATCCTTCATGTTATCCTCATCCAATACAGTATCCTTGCTAGGCATAACACGCAAGAGCTCCTCGCGCAGCTTCTGCTGCTTCTCTGGATGCTTGCTCAGGCACAGCAAGAGAGCCGACAAGAACGTAGAACTGCCGTCGACACCCGCCATAAGCATGTCCAGACTCATAACAACCGCGATTTTCGGATCAATGCTCATCATCTTATCCAACATGCTGAGTTGCCCGCTCTCCTCTCCCGCCTGACGGCGACGCTCGCTCTCCACACGGGCCTCTTCTATCAAACGCTGCGCGATATCAACGCTCTCATTTTGGGCGCGCATTAGCTCGCGATAGGTGGGCGTCGATACGTATTTCCAGATGGAGGGCTGTATATCCAGCTTGAAGGAGAGCTGAAATATCTGCCGTGATATCTTAAACAAGGCCAAGATGTCTTTATTATCACGCTGCTTGCGTATGATGCCCAGCTCGCGATTGAAGGCAATCAATGCAATCGATTCGAAGACCAATCGACTCATTTCCTCCTCAAAGTTGCCTGGCACCTCCAGAGTCTGTGGATCCCGTATCTCTTTGATACTATACCAAATACATATACATGAATTACGATTGATTATTATTTTAAATATTGTTTACTTACCGCTCAATGAACTCGTTGTTGATGTTGGACAGCGGCTGGTAGTACATTCTAAGGCCCTTGGGCTGCATGAACACCGGATTCACAGCTGATCGGAATTTGCCCCAGTCCTCATGTTGTCTGCGTGAATATATTGCTTGAACATTTGGGGATTTGACGTAAACAAGCATGGACTACTCACGCGGATATAAGGCCCTTCCTCTCCGCAAACACGTCTGGTCGTATGTGCTCGCGAAAGTAAACCAGTGAATCGAAGCCCGAGCGGTAAGGCCAAATGCCTTCGTTGCGAAACACTGTCTCAATGTCTTTCGTATTGAAGGTGGCCACCCAATCCTCGCGTCCCAGTGTGCCGGGTATTATGAAGATATTGCCATAACGCTTACGCAGAACATTGGTAACCTCCATAAACGAAGTATCGTAAAACTCTCCACCCGGCATAAAGCTGCGCATAAACCTCAATTTGCCTGGCCTAGGCAGCTCACTGAAGGGACGCACCTGTGCAGCAGCGGCATCATCGGAGGGCTGTAAGTGAAATTCCATTCGTTTAATTCCAAGCAATTGTGCCTGCATCATTATCAATTGCAGCTCACGTTAACCGCTGACGCCGTTTGCACTGATCTCGCGCCGACCAGCGCAATTTGTCGCGCTACAAGCGGTGCTTTGATAAGGGCCATTTGAATATATATTAGCTATCAACTGTTATCAACTGCGACTGTTTCTAACCAGCGCGCAGCTCAGACTAAAATTTGTCTAGCGCTTCTTTCAGCTTTATAGGCGATCGCAGTCAAATGAGTAAAAAGCATAACGAAACAAAGTGCAAGATCAACAAATAACTGTAAGGCGTTACCCTCTCTCTCTCCCTCTCTCTCTCTCTCGCTCTCTATCCCTCTTTGTGTATCACTCTCTCATTCTCTTGCTTATCAATGTGTATGCATATAAAGCTTTAGCTCACACTCGTCAGGTATACCTAACGTTAGGTAAATAGAACAACTGGTTTCAGTCATTGGCAAAGCAAAAACAAAATCTGCCTGCTCAGAATGATATAAAAATGCTATGTTTACATGAATCAGCATATTTAATCCGTTTTGTAACATACATATGTATGTACATACATAGTAGATCAAAAAACATACAGACGTGATGGCACTTGTTTGTGATTATATGTATATGTATATTAAAACTCGTTCGGTTGATAACGAAAGCTTTGTGCGCTGAACGATCGTTTAACTACTCTTGGCAGCTGATGAAAAGTCAAGAGAGGCACTCGAATAGAATATATGTATATAGTTTTGTTAATCAACTACTAATTGTGACTATTTATTACTCGGCTACATATGCCAATAAGCAAATATGCAAATATTGACTATGGCTGTATTCAAATATATCCACAGAGAGATTTACGCTGCGGTATCACTGCCGCAGTCCAGCTGCTGGCATTGCTTTGCCAGACCACACGAATCTTCCCCTTTATGTGTATTGTCAACCATAAACTTTGATTATGCCGTAAGGTGAATGCTTCTGTTTATTTTTAGGCCATTGCTTTGGGCCCTGGCCATTGAGCTGGTCCGCTTCAGATTTTGAATTGTTAGACAGTTATCACGGGCAAGAAATCTCAATATTTCTCATACTCTTTTCCTTTAGTTTTTGCCAGTATTTATAAATACCTCAAAGTATCGCCCGATTAGCTCAACAGGTCTTTTTGGCGGGGGCTGTTGGGGCAGCATGAAGTGTTCGCTTCATAAATCAATTTAGCCCCACACAGTCAAGAAATTGGGTGTTGCAGTCGCTTCATAAATGCATCAGCGGTGCCAATCGCAGCATAATGAACCGACGCGTCGGCCAATTTGTCTATTATGTAGCATTGTTTAGCGGCCGAGGCTCCGCTCCAGCTGCCGGAGCCTATTCACACTTGTGGGCGTGCGCCGTCGAACCGGAGTTGGGGTCACAGTCGCAGCCACAGTCGCTGCACAAATGCATACAATGCCACACATGTCGCGCTTAATTAACCCCAAACAATTTCAGCTGTTTGGCTGTCTGACACCAATGCACACACTCGCACAAACACACACACACATACACACTCATACACACGCGCACATGAGTCCAGTACGTAATATAGTAGAGTATTTTACACTGTTTATGCGATGAAATTCAAAAGTAAACTATTTATGTAAAGTATTATTAAATATATGAAAATATAATTTATTAAAAAATATTATTTAATTAAAATTTGATGGAGTTAAAGCACATTTTAGGCATTAGCAAATGTAGAATATATAATTTATTGACTATTTCTAGAGTACATATCTAACTCAAGTATCGAATACCTATAATATATATATACGCATATACATATATTGCTATAGTATCTTCCACACATACACATTCACGGAAATGTTAATGGCATAAATACATGAGTGAGTGTATTAAATTTAAATTTGAAGGCACGAGCTAGGCAGCACTCATAATTCCGATGCACGTTTCAGCGGCAGCGCTGAGGGTTGAGCAGACGGCCTGTGAGTGGGGGGAGGAGTTGCAGCTGGGGAGCACAGTGACCCAAATTAATCTTATTCATTGGCGGCAGCAAGTGTGTGTCAGCAGCAATCCAGAGCCCGGCCGACAGCCTCGCATCCAAAAACCTTGACTTGTCTATGACCAGGCGGCGCGTCGACAAAGTGGCAAAAGTTTTCTAGCTGCCGCATGGAGAGGGAGCGAGCCTCGTTTGTCGACAGCCGACGCGAGGCGTGAAAAAGATTTGATTTAAGGATTTGATTACATTTTCTATATTAGAAAGCAGCATTCCATATTCATAAAGTTAACTCTTCACTCACTGCAAATACCTGCACAAGAAAGAAAACACGAAACAATGCTCAAAGTCCACAGTCGTGAAAAGGAAATATCACAAGACCTAATAATGAATCATAAAAAGTAGCTAACACATAATTATGGTGATTATCCGACGCAAAAGTGGGAAAGTGGGGCAAAGCCACGTCGAGTAAATGGCGACTAAGTGGCCCGCACGCCTGCACTAATTGTAAGTAACACGTTCACGTTTACAACTTTAAGGGAATTTCCCTCGGAGGACAAGAGACTGGCATGCAGGCAGCACCAACAGCAGCAGCAGCCAAGCAGGCAGTCAGGCATCCAGTCAACCGGCTAGACCTTGCCAGACGAGACACACAGCCATTCCAGCTTAGACATTAAAGTTTGGCCAGCCAGCTCGTTAAATAGACCAAATTCATTTGGCCAAAAGTTTAAAGTGTCGGCAGCGCGCGCGCACGCCGACATTTATCAGTCATTAACACGGCCAACTACACAAAACAAAAACAGCTGGGCGTTGATGGGCGGGAATGGGCGGCTTTGGCGTGGGGTCTGGCCAAACAATTAAAGCTGTGTCTTGAATTTCCTAACGGCTCTTGGCAGCATTAAAAATCAATAAATTTAAAACATTGTATGACAATAGAAAAAGAAATCAGCAAGAACGCATGGCCCTGCCATAGATTCGATGCTAGAGAAAATTCTCTTCAGGGATGTTCATGTAGCGGCTGTTGTTGTTGTTGTTGTTGTTGCTGCTGCTGAGACGTAGCACGAAATCGCCGAGCCAAACATCCTTTGTCAATACAAAATACGTACAACAAATCAAATAAAAGCACGCCAACAACAACATCAACATCAACAACAATGGCAACAACAATCCGAATGGCAACAAAGACAAAAGTCAAAAGTGCAAAAACAAAAGCAAAACGAACCGTTGCGCCCCCAAAATGCAAGCCGAGCTCCGAGCGACAGCCAGGAGAACGAGAACGTGTCCAGGATCAGCGCATGCGCCGAATTGGCGAATCTCACGAAGCGGGGAAGCCCACTTGGCTGTGTACATGTGGAGTTGGCCTGGCATCGGGTGGGTGGGGAAGGGCGCATGCATGGACATGTTGTTACAAACGCCGGATAAAATGGCGCTGCCTCGCCTTTTGGGGGCGCACCACCCATCCACACACACACACACATACACAGCGATATTTCTCCTCCATTTTGAGAAAATTTCCTGCATCGAGCCGCAGTCGATGGCCATGTCTGGCCGAAGTGAGCAAATGATTTTTAACAAATTTCATTAACATCAGAGGTCCGTAATCATTCAAGCATCGCGTTTCGTAACTGGCCCAACAATACCTTTCCCGCTGGCCACTCTCATCCATTCGCTTCGCAGGACACTCGATGCACATTTACCTGCACTGCACCTGACGCGACAACCCATTTAGCTTTAATAAAAGCCACGTGAAAAGTGCCAATACAAAGAGTTCTATAAATTCCTAGATAAACCTAAACTAGCCTATTTCTAAGCAATCATTGGTCAGCTCTTCCGCGGACCTGTGATTAATTCTGTGTAAATGAGCTTTTCTGGGCTGTAAATCAACAAAATGATCGACGAACAGCATCCAATGCAGATTGGCCTGTGTAAGTATTTTGCATTAACCGAAAAGATTATCGAGCGAATGCCGACGGTGTTTTATAAATATATGAATTTACCGACGGGTTTTTGAAATACTATTGCGAGTACAATTTGTTGTTGTTGATGAAAAGAATTTTGCAAAATGTTAATATGTTAAATGTTTGCCTACATATTTATTAGCCCAGATATTTATTTGAGAAGTTTTATATGAAATTATGTGCCACATGCCAGAGCAGTTTACAGCTTAGACATGCCAGAAGTCCCTTTTGAAATAATTTTTTGTTTTTTTTTTCGTTTTATTTATGACACACAATCATTTACACCTCATATACTTCATATGCAGTCAAAGCAGCACATTGGAGGAAGGATTTTAATAAAATTTATATAACTATCTAAATACATTTCAATGTTAAATTGCTGTTGCCTCAACCCTTGCCATCCATCAAACCACAATTTGTATATCATAAAATATTCAGTTTATGTGTAAACAGTGCAACTATTATTTATAAAGCAACAATCTTCTGTTTATAAATATATTCAGTGAGCAAGACTTGAAACAGAGTTTAAGAATATTTAATGTGTAGGCAGCATAACCGAACCTAAGCGTTTAAGGTCTAGATAACATACCTGACTTGAAGCAGAGTTTAAGAATATTTAAAGTGTAGGAAGCATAACCGAACTAATGCGTTTGTGGTCTAGATAACTTACCTGAAAAGTCTTCAGTATTAAATATCATATATCGATACTATTATAGAGGAAAATGAAAAGTTATTAACATATAAATAAGTGCTCAAACTATTGCTGATACTGCTAGCATAACTACTAACTTTTTACTATACTATATCGAACTATGTATTACGATTCTATCATCTACAAAGTCAATGAAGACAAGGCAATGTTATATATTTGTTTAACTTAATGTATATATACTTTTCACTCAGTTCCTTAGGCGAGTTGTCATGGTCATACCATTGAAAACATATGCATGGATACACGTATATTAAAATATGCTAAGATATAAATATACCTGATGGCATTCATAAGTACATACATATATTTGTTGTTTTGTTTTGGCTTTGTCCAATAGTTTGTTGTACTTGTTGTTCGAGTACGAGCTGAGCGAAAACTAAGAACCACTTGCACAACTTGGCACTTGAGCTACATAAGTGTGCTCAAGTCAAGCTGGCAGCGAGCCAAATGCCAAAAATCTGGACACATTTTATAGTG